GTATATAGATCTCTTTCTGTCTTGTGTGCTTGTGCTTGTATTCCATGTCTAATAACACCAATTCCGACATCTGGTTTGTGAGTGACTGCAGTTCCAGCTCTCTTCCTTTGTCTAACATACTGCATAGGCTGGTGCATTTGCTGCGTTCACTGTCGATCTGCTTGTCTATCCTCTCGACACTCTCAAGACACGTCTTCAATCGCAACACTATGAACAGTTATACAAAGATGCCAGTGGCAAGACGAAGCCTTCTCTATTCCGCGGTCTCTACCAAGGCGTCGGTTCCGTCATCCTCATCACCATTCCTTCGTCTGGCGCATTCTTCACAACCTATGAAGCTTTGAAGTTCGGTATCTCGGAAGCAGTGCCTCCGAACTCCACGATATTCCTTCCCCAGCCTGCTATCCATGCTGCAGCGAGTGGTGGTGCCGAGCTTGTCAGCTGCGCCATCCTCACCCCGGCGGAGGTCCTCAAGCAAAACGCTCAGATGCTTAGTGCTCGAGGGAAGAGAACATCGACCTCCTGGGAAGTCTTCAAGCATTTCAGAAACAATCCTTCAAGACTATGGAGGGGGTATACCGCGCTGGCCGCCAGAAATCTGCCATTCACCGCACTACAATTTCCTACCTTTGAGTATCTGAAAGGATATTTTATGCAACGGCGGAAGGATCGAAATGGCGGGAGACCTGTCGAGGGAATAGCTGAGCGCGCGCGAATCACTGCGATGAGTGCCGCTATTGCCGGAAGCGGAGCTGCGTGGATCACAACTCCGATCGACGTCGTCAAGACCAGAATCATGCTCGCTGCAGGATCCGGAGATGATGTCCCGAGGATGGAATCCAAAGGCAAGACCTCCAAATTCCTTATGGCAGGCGTTCAAGGGTCACGCAAAAGCGCATTCATCGTGGCTAGAGAAATTCTCAAGGCCGAGGGTACTCGCGGGCTGTTCCGGGGTGCGCTCCTCCGAGCTACTTGGACATCTCTTGGTAGCGGTCTATACTTGGGTTGCTATGAAGGCGGCCGTTTCTATCTGGAGAAGAACAGAAGGGACGCCAAAGAAGGCGATCACCTCATGCAACGTGACTGGTCGAAGGTCAAGGTGGGCATCGGAAACTCTAGATCTCAAGAGGTGGTGAAAAAGAGTGCGTGGCAAGAAGACTGATCGACCAAGCTACTCGATGAGTTTCGTCCTATCCGAGATGGCTGCTTATTCGGCTAGGCCTGGACGTATCTGCTGCAGATGCGATTATGCTCTCTGAAGAAGACGTTATGTTTCACCATTTGGATTTAGATTTCTCTGAGGATGTCAACGCCACTGGTGACGGAGCGATCTATCAATTCCTCCAACATTCTTTGTGCCCGAGTCCTTGGTACGATGAGTGGCTCCAGTGGAACTCGACGCCGCGATGGATGACCATGCGACAAGCTTCTATCTCAATCGGTCCTGAATGCTGAGCGGCTCCTACAAGATATTAGTCATCCTGCTGTCTGGAACGGCCTCCAAACAATGCCGTCATTCGATATACCAATGTCCGAATCGGGAAAGACACGTGACTCGGGTCCAATCGTCGCCAAAACAGGTCGAAATACAGCCACAAGTCGCGCACCTGTATCACTCAGCATACAAGAGGCCAATGCTATTTTCGCATGACCAAATCGTCGTGAGGCGGCTTTGACTTTTGAGATTAATATCTACTGCCTCAAACCTCCCGTGGGAGCCATGAAAAGTTCAAATAGCTGCCCTTCTCGAGGACATTCCACCAGGTCCCTTTTTCAGTTCAAGCTGAGGATATCAAGACTATTAACTCCTCGTCTGCTGTCATACCAAAGCCAAACATGGCAGATATCTCAGTCCTCTTGATCGGCGCAAGTGGCGCTCTTGGAAAACCTCTCCTGGATGAGCTTATCCGTCAGAGGCATCAGTTCAAGCGCATTGCCATTCTTGCGACGCCTGAAAGAGCCAGCAAATTCAGCGAATCCGGCGTGGAAGTTGTGGTTGGTTCATTCTACGAAGCAGCATCATATCAAGGTTCGCAGGCCAGCAATCCAGTCGTCTCTCACACGAATGCATTTTGACTCTTTCGCGCAGGCTTTACACACGTCGTTTCGGCAGTCGGTAACGCTCTGATGATCCTGCAACCTGCCATGGTTGATGCTGCCATCTCTGCGGGCGTAAAGCACTGGTATGCCTCGGAATGGAACAGCGACATTGCACAACGACAGATCCAAGCCCTGCGCTATTTCCGCGACAAACATGCCGTCAGGGCCTATCTGCGTGCTAAAGCCGCTCAAGCGCCCGGTTTTCAATACACCCTCATGGTCACTGGCATCTTCACAGAATGGGCGCTCGATGAGTTCTATGGATTTGACCATCAGAAACTCACGGCACGAGTGTATGGGCAGCCTGGGAACAGGATCGGTGTCACAAGCATCCCCGATATCGCACGGTATACCATTGATTCACTACGGATTCCCTTTGAAGGGGTTCCAGGTCGCACACTGCGGATACAAGGGTGGACGGGCAAGATCGAAGACTTGATCGGCGAACTGGAGCAGGTCAGAGGGGTCAAGTACCAAATCACCTGGATGGACGTCTCTGAGGCCAAGGAACTCGAAGAACAAGCCAGGGTGGACGAAGACGACGTGTCCGAGATGATGTATAGCATCAAGCCCTTGTTGGCCAGCGGATATGGTGTCGCGGACGGTGTGGGTGAGTTGGATCATGAGCTCTTTGACTGGAAGCCGGAGACGCCACGAGAGACCTTTGCCCGGGTTTTTCGAGATGGTCCTTTATGATGTATGATGTATATACGAGGTACGCCATCGACTAGACTCGGGACGATGGTAGGTAGCAGTCGGTCATCGGATCAAGGCAGAGAAAGCGGCTTAATCATTCATTAGTGTAATAGACAGAATACAGCTTTGCACTGTTCGACCATGACAGCAGGCAGGCGATTGCCACTTTGTATTTATTCATTCCTCTATGTCGTGTCGTGCCATTTGCATGAGAGTTATTTTTGGTAGTCGATCTGTAGTGTCTATATCCCCCGTTTTGGTCGTCGTTGTCATGTCCGAAGCATGAAAATCCCACGAGGTCTGCGGCAAGGAGGATGGGAGGATGGGACAAATTTTCATAGCTACTAGCTGATCATATCAGGTCATCTCGACGTCCTCGTCCTTGGCTGTGGTTGTGGCTTTGGCACTCGCTCCAGGATGACGACGAGCAGCATCGTCCTCGGCGTCGACATCGACATCGGCTTCGATCTCAAGGTCTCCATCTTCCTCTACCTCCTCCTCATCGTCCTGGTCATCCACGTCCTCCCAGTCCCCGTCATCCTCATCCATCTCGCCGTCGAGCCCCAACTCCTTTTTCAACCCGTCAACCAACTCGACCGCGTGCTCTCGGAGCCGCTCGTCCTCGTACCCCTGGACGCGGTACAGCCGGAGGCAGTTGTCCAGCCACTGCTTCGCGGTCTCGAGGCACTTGGCTTTCGTTTCGGGGGGGGTGTCCCCTTTCTGGGAGATGAGCACCTGGCACCATCCGCCGAGGTACCAGCATTCGACGCTCTGGTCGTCCTCGCGGACGAGGCCCTCGAGGACGGTCATGGCGACGGGTTCCAGTTGCACCTCCATGAGCAGGCGGCTGAGGGAGACGCGGGTGGCGAAGTCGGGCCGTCTGCCATCTTCGCCCGCGCTGGCTTCTTCGTCCTTTGTGGGATCTTGTACAGAGGCCGACGGCGTGTCGTTCCATATGTCGAGACTCCTCTTGAGGGCTGTTCTGGCGTCCTCTATCCGTTCTTGACTGATTCGCACGCTCGCCAGTGTTTGTAGAACCCCGGCACTCAGGTGCTCCGGGCACACCGCCACGGCTTCGGTGACGAGCGACTCGCATCGCGACTCGGCGTCGTTCTCCCACGACAGATCGGTCATGTAGACCTCGGCCATGGCGCAGAGGGCGTCTGCCAGCTTCGATTTCTTTTCGTCGAGCACCTTCTTCGCGCCCGCATCCCCGTCCGACCCGGTGTCCATCTCGTTGACCGCCTCCTCGAGCACCTCGATCTCATTCCTGAGCACCTCGCACGCCTGCTCAAAGTACCTGATACTCTCTGCCCCACCTTCTTCACACAGCTGCGCGAGCCAAAGCCACGGTTCCGCCGATATCAGTGCCCCGTCTTTGTCGATCCGAGTCGCGCGTAAAAAGTTTCGTCGTGCCGACTCCACATCTCCCAATGCAACTTGGATTTCGGCGTTCAGGGTCAGAACGGACGGCAGCGTGGGTATTCCCTGCGCGGCCAAGGACAACAGGTCGTCGATCTCGATCTCATCCTCCTTGGGAGCATGCTGTTCCTGTCGCTCGGCTTCGAGTCTCTTCAGGGCCTCTTCGGCAAGCGGCAGCGCAAGTTCCGGTTGAGCCTGTTCAAGGAGTTCGGCAGCCTCGGTGAGGAGGTCTTCGATCGATTTCTGCGACTTTTTCGGGACGCCTTTCACAAGCGGAGAGGTCGTTGAGCGGAGGATATCTCGTTGTTTCGAGCCTGCTTTCGTCTTGGTTTTGGCCATCTTGGGTTTGTATCTCTGTCGCGCGCAGTATTAGTAGAGGTGGTCTTAGGCCAACGAGAGATTTTCCCAGCACAACCTCCAAGGCTTTGGAGATCTCAGCAACTTTCTCCCCAAACCACAAAACTTTTCTGAAATGTTTAGACACCACTTTGTCAGAGGGAAGGTTTCCCGAACGAGCACAGCCTTGTGGTATTGGCAAGGCTCAACGCTTTTGAGAACGCCCGAACCAAGTAATCAGATTCGTCTACATACAGAAGGTAAAATACGACTTTTGTGGAATGTGGCCTGGGGTCCATATGAGGTACTGCAATATGCGGGACTCTCCACTCATTTCGGTCCTGCCCCATCAAGGCACTTTACATTTCGTCTTGATTTACTTGAAGCACTCAACTCTCTTTTCAGGCCGACCAGGACGAAAAACTGTGCCCGTGGCTATAAATCGATCACCATGTAGCAGAATCCCAGAGCCAGGTTTGCCCAACGGTATTCACCACGCTGAGATCAGGACCCAACAGCCCCATGTCGCTGCCGCCTGTTTGGTTGACATAGGAATTGTCGGCGCCGTATGGAGCCACGTTCTGGTTGATTCCATCACCATTTGACCTCTCCATATCTGTCTCAGACACCTCCGGGAACATCGCTGTCAACATCTGTTAGCTACAAAAGACACACGACAGAAGGACCTGAACGATGGTTCTTACCTTGCTGCATAATCAGTAGACCATTGTTGAAATCTATATTCTCGAAGCCCGAGAAGTCAAAGTCGCCGATGGAGGTCTGGACTTGGTTCATTGTAAAAGGAACAGATTCGTCCTCTGTCCTTGTCGTGGTGGGATTTGCCGTCACGTCCTCAGAATACTGCGGATCGCCAAAAGCAGGACCAGGCGTGGCAGCAGAGGAGCCTACCGCATCCCTGACTTTTGTCCCTGATAAGGAGGCCATATTTTGGGAGTTGTCCGATTCCGACAGCATCGCTTTGATCTCTTTCTCCCCAATGAGTCGAATAAGATCCTTCAAAATCTTTGATGTTTGCGCCGAGAGGAGGGCTCTGTCAGACAAGAACCGTGAGAGGGACATGATCCGAGCAACGGCCTGTTTAGCCATTTGCGCCTCCGAGGACAGAGGCCGTGAGAGAGCTACGATGCAAAGGACCATGCCCGCTGTGAAAAGATTGATCCCGAGAAATGCTGCGGCGTGGCTTTCCCGTGCAGAGACCAAACATTGGCGGTAGTCGCCCAGTTTAGAAGATCTGATGGCGGATTCCCAACATTTATCTCGACTTGCCAGTAGGATTTCATGTACATGTCGATGTGACAGCTTGTTGTCATTGGCAAAGTCGATCTGTCCAGAGGAGTACGTCGAACTCTGGGACCCAGCTGTTCCAGCGTCTGTCTTGAAGTTTCGCAGATCTTGTGAGAGTAAAGGGCGGTGTAGAAGTATCTGTACATTATCGTACGCAATCTGAAGAGCCAAAGCTTGTAGTATAAAGGGCCTGGAATTTGCTGTTACAGGTTCCGCAGGGTTTCGACACAGATCCTCCAACTTCAGCTCCGGTGGCAGTGAGCTGAAGAAGTCGGACAGCTCCTTGTCAATGCGATAGACCTTGAGTGCCAACTCGGATACACTCCGACTTCGATGGAAGTATAAGTCACCAATAATAGGCGAAGATATCTGATACAACTTGATCTTGTACTTCAAGTAGGCAAATGTCGTGACTGGTTCCACGGTCCCGTCCGGCATGGTCGCAGTGGAGCGAAAGGAGGGATGCTGCACGGTGGTGTCGCCGATATTCTCGGGGATTTTGATGTCGATTTCGTCCATGGAAAGGCCACATGGCCGACCAAACATTGTTGCCGCAAACCTACAGTCCGAATCAGAAGAAATGCGGAATGGTCAGCTCCTCTACTTACCGGTCGAAGATAAAAAGAGCCCAAAAGACTCGTCTGCGCTCTTCTTTCGCAATCTCTGACAAGCCTCGCCATGCTGATTCTCTGTGCAGCAGCATAAGTTGGGCGCATCTGAGTCCAGCTCCTAGAACAACAAATGCAAGGTTGGGGTGGCCGTAATAGACGTAATATGACCCAAGAAGAACACACACTTGGACAGACTCGAGATCCGCTGCATCGTATAAGGCATGCATGCTGTCTTCGACCTTTTTGAGAGATAGCTTTCGAAACGTCTGCAACTGGAAGGTAGGGAACCTCTGTCGGACGTCGTCCTCCGAGGCGTAATGTGCGCCCATGGATAGTACCAGAAGTATGAAGATGACCTGATTTGACCTAGACCGCGAAAATCTCCTTGTCGCCATCAGTCTCTCATATGACGATCGAAATGTTGGCTCGTGGAAAAGCATCATAAACCAATGTACAGCATCGAGATAGGTGTTTAGGAAATAGTCTGTCACGCGTTTGGAAGGTAATTCGAGGCCGAGCAGCTGTTCCATCGTGATATCGTCCTGAGATGTTCCGAACACCCCCTGAGAACCCCCCAAGCCCCCAGGGAGGGCGGAGGTGGAGCTCTCAAGGACAATCTCGGGGCTGAAGTTGTCAATGATCTGGGCTGCCTATCAGTGACACGATCAACACATATTCCGGCAGACTGACCTCCTGTGTCAATCCCGCCGATGAGATCCTCTGGTTGTAGGCTTCAGGATCTGTCGCCGAGAGTCGATCGAGACTGACGGGTCCCTTGACCTTCGCTGGACTATTCGTTTGCTGGCCAGGAGTGGAACTGGTTTCTCGATCGTCTCCATGGCTGTATCGTGGTTGCGGGGAGGAACTCGTGGCGTGATGTAGACCTGGAGGGACAATTCCATTCTGGTTCTCGCTCTGGCCAGTATCTGGTTCAGGGGAATGGAGCCTTGACTTCTTGCGCCTAACTTGGAGTAATTCTTCCTCAGCTCACGACAAGATGATCTCGTTGGACTGCTCGTAGAGCGACAAGGGCGACGACTAACCTTGGTCTGGACTCCGAGATACACGGAACCTCGGACCTCAGGCACAATGAACAAGGTCGCTCTTGATCACACTGCGCATCGACGTCAACATGTATGCATGGTGGATGGCGCAGGGCTGACTCACCTTGAGTTTCTGTCGGCGACATCTTTGGCAAGCTGATTGAACCCGAGATCGACGCTTTGCGCCTGAAGTCGACGAGAGATGTTGTGGCCATTCTGTTTCCGTGTCCATAACTAACTGTCCATTTCTGCGCAGAAAGATATATAGATCATGTATATATGGAAGGCGGTTTGTAGTGAGGCCATGAACTAAATTGTTAACGAGGAGAACAACACTCGAGCCGAAGTGAACCTCGCCGTCGCGTGGAGGTTCGACGAGAAGGGGATCGCCATTCACCAAGAACTAGTAGCGCTTCTCCATGGAAAGGAACTTGGTGGTGTCGGGACAAATTGGAGATGACTAAGAATCGGGGGAGAGGGCAATGGGGGGCATGGGGAGTTCTCGTAGGTAAAGCTAGCTAGCGAGTCTAGGTGCCTAGATGCCTAGGTTCTCCGTAGGGCTTGTAGTGGATCCCCGGAGGCCAGCCGGGGCGAGTAGGCCTTGGCAGGAGCGGAACTTGGACGTCTGGGCAGTGGGCTTCCAGGCTCCCCAAGGCACTTGGTACAGAGTAAGAGGTACAGTAACCATTAAAGAATCCTCCTACATTTTGAGTGTGAGAGAGATGAACGGAAATGATTCTGCAAAGCCGGAGTCTGCGCCCTCACTACCATAATTCCTAAACCACCAGACACGACTAGCCAGTGTCCGAGACAGGAGTTTTTACAGTGTGTCAATGCCAGCAATATTGATACATGTCCTGATCTATGCATAACCTCTTCTGCGTCGTCCCTGGTTCCTGGGACGCTGGGTAACAACGAGAGGATTGATTTTGTGTCTGTCGCGTGTCTTGAAGCCGGATTTCGCCTGATGACGGGTTAGAATAGTTAACAACAGCAGCAGAAGGGCACTTACTGGAATTCCCCAAGGGCTCACCGGGATGCGGTTACCCTTGGATTTACCTCGACCACCACCGTGCGGATGGTCTGCTGCGTTCATGGCCACACCTCTCACAGTCGGTCGAATATTGAGCCAGCGCGACCGCCCCGCCTTGCCCAGAGAGGTGTATTTGAAGTTGACATTGCTTGCAACGCCAATGGTTGCCACAGCGTCTTTGTCGATGAGTCGGACCTCGCCACTGGACAGGCGCACGGTAACATAGTTGGCCGCCTTCTCGAATTTTCTCAATTGCTCCGTGCTTAGAGTAGACAGATCCATGTCGCCGTTGTCACCAATCAACTTCATCATCTCTTTCTGCACCGTGTCTTCCCCTTTCCCGATGATGATCCCATGTGTCCCAGCACTTCGGCAGATCTTGCCAATGTCGCCTTTCGTCGGAGTAATGTTGAATATGGGGGTGCCAACAGGGATCATGCCCAATTGCAGACAATTGCCCCGATGTGCTGTTTTGGACGCCAGGACACCCTGATCGATATGTCCGCCCATTTCATCGATCAGTGACTGTGGTAGACCTGATCGGTAGCTCTCCACCGTGTCCCCAGCTCGTAAACCTTCGGCCGCTAGGATATAACTCCTTTCTTCAGTCTGAAGATTTTTCACGAGAGCGATATGAGCAGTGCGACCGGGGTCATGCTCGATTCGCTCTACCAGATGCTTTCCTCCAGTGTGTCTTGCAAAATCAACAATTCGTATCCTTCTCTTATGTCCACCTCCACGATGCCGCACCACGACATGTCCAGTATGATTTCGGCCACCTTTGCCATGGCCCTTTTTGGGAAATGTGAGAGGGAAGTGTGGTCGACCTTTCCATAGGTGTTCGTTCAATGGGCGGACCAGATGTCGAATACCTGGTGTTCGAGGAGTATAACGTCGCAGCCGAACTTCGAATTTGGACAGTGAGGTTCGATCATCGGCTTGAGCAAGAGGGAGATCTGTGACGGTGTTCTCTGTGACCGACCCGCTCGACTGCACAGGGTCGATGCCTTGTACCTGAGCGTAGGTCCTGCGAAAGGCAGGTGACGGCAGTTGACATTTCCTGCACAGCGCGCGGAAAGGTATTCGCGGTTGGAGCATTTTGGAGAGTGATATACAACGCAATCCGATGTGCGTTCTCCCTAGATCAGTTCATTGTCTTCTGACATTAATGTATCAAGCCAATTGGACACAGATCTGTCTCGGAGCTCTGATCCAAATTATTTCACAAGCGTAGGTGGAGGAAGGCCGACCAATCGGCAAACATGCCTGCCAAGGACTCTTCGACTCAAGGAGACAAGCGTAGCCTTGTAAGCCTTGCCCATTTCGAGAGGCTTGATGCTTGTGCTAAGATCCTTTCCCATTCACTGCACCCTCACAGGGAGGTTTTCTTTGATCCCGTGGCTTTTATTCCTCTTCTAGACGTCGTGATTCATCACAAATTAGAGTACAAATCTCTCACTGGCTCTTCATTCGTGTGGAGACCATGAGTGAAACTGCCATGGAGCCCTCAACAAAGCATTCCAAAAGTACATCAAGAACAGCGTACACTGCCCGTCGAGACGCTGACAAGATTGTACAGATCCGCTAGGAAACCGCGATGTTGCTCCTCAAATGTACCTTTCCCTTCCTCAGAGCAACAGTGATCCTGCAAAGATTAAGGCGCCTCTGAATCAATCAATACGATACTCCCCATATCCAAAGCCGACATTCATAGCTGCTGTCAGACAGAAAGCCTCTGGCGCTTTGAAGCAGGCTCTGCAATGGCACCAGATCCGGATCCAGAACTGGTTAGCGACCAAACAGTCGACACAGAAGATCGTGGATGTCGATTCCGAAACCATGACTGTTGAGGTTGACTCGTTGTCCTCGATACTCGGCCCTGATGTGAAGCTCACAACTCCCGAGATAGATTCGCAGACGCAGGTCTCTGAAGAGAGTGAATGTATGTCAAGGATCCCCCATTTAATTGAGCTCTCTCAAGTCTTGCAGATCTGTCCGTTGAGGACGTTGAAGTCAGTACAATCCCTTCGGAGGACTTGATGACCAGTTGCAGTACCGATTGTGGCCAGCGAAATGATGCCTACCAACCACCTCTTCAGTCCCTCCAAGCGTCCGATCAATCTCCGGCAGTTAGCGTCAAAGCGCAGACTCCTGAACATTGTTACATAACAACGTCCAACCAGCACTCACCACTGCACACTGAGCGGCAGGAGTTCAACGATACATCTCGGTTTGTATAGCTCATGCGCAAACTCTCCCTCCTTTGTCTCCGCCTTGGGAGGCGCTCATGGCTGACAACAAGAAATAGCCCGGCCGTTCAAAAGAGGCAATGCCAACAATACAGTCTCCGTGGTACAAGAGTCCATTCAGTAAGCCGGGTTTTGAAACTTGAGATACTAATCCTGTCCATCTAGGGTACTGCGCACGTGGCACGAACTGTTTCCATTTCCACGACCCCATGAAGGTTGCATTATGCCCCTCTGTCCTTTGCAATCAACGATGTTCTCGAGGCATCAACTGTAATCTCAGTCATGTTCCCACCCATAACACCTCTCCGACGTGCAAATACTTCCTTGCTGGAAGATGCAATCGATCCCCTTGTCCCTATTCCCATGCACCGATAGAGCCTTGGGCAGCACCTTGTTCGGACTTTGCCTCTTCTGGCTACTGCGAGCGAGGTGGAAGTTGCCCTTGTCGTCATCTCCGTCAGTGTCGTGATCAAGCTAGATCTGGCATCTGTCGCAACGTCAGATGCCCGCATCCTCATGTTGCCCAAGCAGAAGGTGGGAATGGCGAACAGTCATTGCGCAGTTCCAGCAGCCGGAAACCTTCGACTCTCGTGGAATCCCAAACGGACAAGACCCTTGGAGGACCGTGTACCGTCACTCCCGTGACTCCTCATGATCATGACAACGCGATGGGTCCCATAGATGAAGATCGACTATTCAGTCAGCAGGCCGACTTCATCCGACTGTGAGTGGATTCTATGGTAACTCAGTATTGGCGCAGACTACGAATAGTGTTGCGGGACAGAAGAGATGCAAAGTTGTTGAGTAAGGAGGTGTCACCAGGAACAAGGACAATAGCTGCGTCAGTCGGCCAGGATATTGAGAATAAAGCGATAAGCCGGAAGGAGAAGATAGTGCACATGCTGAGCATGTCTCCAAGAAGAATGAAGAACAATTCTACAGAACTGTTGTAACCGTGGAGAAGAAGCCGAATACATTGTGTAGTGTGTGATGAGGTACATTCTCTGGGTGCGTCGTTTGGGCACCTCAGATGGCCAGGCCTGGTTAGTCCGGCCAGGCAGTATCAAAGTGACCAAATAGAAATCCTCGGGGCTGACAGGCCCATCATGCATGACGATGAAGTGGGGAAGAAGACTTCGTTATGGACTTCCTCTTCAAGACCAGGCAAATCATTGATCATCGACGTCCTAAAATGACCCTTTCAACACTTCGTACAAGATTCTGACCTGCGAGACACATTCTTCTCGTCCTGGCCTTCCTTTTTCCTCCAATCCTCACGCCGATGAAAGTGGGAGTCCACCTCCCCATCTATCCCTACCCAATGGCCACTTAAGAGATGCCCAAAGTCACCTCCCCGCGGACTTTTACGGCTTGTTGGACCTGCCGCCGCCGAGGTGTCCGTTGCGACAATCTCGTCCCTCAGTGTACGCAGTGCCTTCGCTCACGTCTGACCTGTGAGGGCTACGACATCCGACTCGTGTGGGTCGACGCCGAGTCTGGGGAATACGAGCCACAGCAGCGACGTGCCTATCCCTGTGAATTGACCTGGGATGGATATCCGATCTGGACACTGAAAGAGGTCGAGCATCTGATTACACACGCAGAGAAGAAGGGGTGTCGATGTGTCTTACACCGTCATCGCAGCCCATTCGTTACGTTTTCGAGCTACGAAAGCCTTGATACTTCGGCTGCCCCGGTGGTCCCGTTCAGGGAGACAGCGCCTCGACCTCGGGAAGAGGGTGTAGAATGCTTGAAAAGCCCGCTTACTGGACCATCAGTGATTACAGCCCCTTCACCACAAGCAAGAGGCAACCGCGAGCATGCAGATCTTGGATCATCCACGGTTTCCATGCCGGCAGCCTTGTCCACTTCTCTGATCCCTGATGGATCACGCGAAGACAACAAGCTCTTCCATCACTACATCTCCAATGTGTCCGTGATGATGACGCCCATCAACGACGACTATAATCCCTGGAAGTCAACATACCCGTGCCTCGCAGTGCACGACGCGACTTCGAACAGCACCCGATCCCTCTTCCACGGGATCCTCGCACAGTCGGCATTTCACCTGTCCAACCTCAATGGGCTCAACCCTGCCAGCTATCGCAGGTTGGCTACGCAGCACTTTGGCATTGCGTTGCGGCACCTTCGCTGCAGCCTCGGTCGTCCAACAGAGGACTTCAGTAGTACTCTTGCGGCAATTCTGACCGTCACGCTTGCCGAGCATGTCTTTCACGGCCAGTCCAAAGGCTTGAAGCACCATCTCCAAGGTTCAATTCAATACGTGGCGCAGTTTTTGAGGCAAAAGCCATGGGTTACTTCGGACGAGGCGTGGGTAATCACACAGAGCTTTGTTCTGCACACGCTCATGTCTCAAATCGTCGGTGGCGACACCCCCAGTACGGATAGAACGCTTCACGAGGTCCTGGAAGACGTCACGGCCGACCCTCGATTCGCATATACGCTCGGCAGTACGCCGCGGCTGATGAAGGCGTTGTATGAGGCCCGTCTCCTCGAGGGACAGCTGACGGCGAGAGGCGCCTCCAGGGGCGGCCGTAAGCCAGATCTGTCCGAGGATGAACTGGTCCAGGCAAGTAGAATCCTCGTCGCGCTCGACTCACCCCTCGACGCAGAGGTCGAGCTCTACATGAGCAGACAGCGGGCGGTGGAGGAGGGCGCAGAACAGCGCAAGTTCATCGTGTCGAACCTGAACCTGTTCAATTCAGCCGTGACCATCTACCTGCTCTGCGTGGTCCTGCGTCATCCTCCATCGGCGGTCACGGACCAGGTGTCCCAGACCCTGTCTGCAGCGGCGTCGCTGCTCGAAATGGACCGCACCGCCGTCTCCATCTGGCCCATCTTCATCGCCGCCGCCGAAGCCTACACGACGGAGGCGCAGACACTGGCCGACAGCGTCCTGAGCCTCTCGACGAGCTTCGGGGTCGCCAACCGTGCGTTGATCCACCAGGTCGTGAAGCGGATCTGGAGTGAACGAGAAGAAGTCGCCGCACGACGAGGATGTGATGCTGGCATCGTCCTCGTGGACTGGCGCGAGGTGTTGAGGAACTTGGACGTGGAGATTCTGCTGCTTTGAGGACCTCTTACCAGCGAGCGCATGTCGGTCCCAAGGCCAAACATAAGTATCTCGTACTATCCTTGTATCTCGTGCCTTTTGGTCAAGTCATGAAGCGACTGTAGGATATGTACCCGGTGTGCTAGGCCAGTGTAAACCTGGTTTGTATCCTTCCCTCCCTGTCTGGTCAAGTCAAGTCAGATCTGATCTGGTCTGATCTATCCCGGCGAAAATTACTGATCCCCCAGCTGACCTATTGACCATCACCATGAACCAAGGGTGTGTATATAACCCAAGTACGAGTACGAATTCACTGAGGATGCGGCACGGGATAATACCTCGTAATCGCCTATACAGTACTCGGTACATAGTTATAGAGCTTTACCGAGACGAGACGAGGTAGGAAAATCTCTGATCTGATTGACCACCCCCATCGGGGAAACCAGGTCATGTCCAGGGTGGTATCAAGGATGTACATTATGTACATTATGTACATACGAGGCCCCCACTTTTATCCATTTTATCCATGCCATCCAGTGTCCAAGTCGAGAAGGCCACAGCGAAAAAAAATGCAGATCCCCCTGATAGGCTAGGCCAGACTTGGTCAGGTCAGGTCAGGGCAGGCCAGAGAAGAGAAGAGAAGAGGACAGGTCAGCATTTGCACATTGCAACAGAAATTGATGAACGAGTAAAGTAAAACGGGATTCTACAAGTGGCGACTGGGATGTCGGTGGGCGGGCGAGTGAGTGTCTGCCTGCCTGGCTATCTATCACCCGGATGTTTGGGGTGGGTGATATACGAGAGATAAATGACCCGTGTGTATATGATTTAATGGTGCTCGAGGTGTTTTTTGTATAACAATTTCTGTGAATCTGGATCTGGATTGATTCGCTACAAGAAACTCAAGCCTGAGAGCCAGAGAAAAGAATAAAGTACTAAACTCTGAGCATGGCGGTACCTCCCCTCAAGTTCGATCCCCCAATAGATGTTGATGCTGTGACGACGCCGTGGAAACTGTCACGCCAAAAGACATATATTCTCGACAACGCCCATGTCATTGATCCCGTCGACGGGAGTGTACGGCACAACGCCACCGTCGAGTTGGGAGGAGGTTTTGTCCGATATATTGGGGACGAGGGTGGGAGGAATACGACTGACGACGGAGGAGACACCCTGTGCATCGACCTCAAGGGCAAATACATCCTGCCAGGTCTCTGGGACTGCCATGTGCACCTGGCGGCAGTGCAGGGCTTCAGCAGCTTTGACGATATCTTGAATCTCTCCCCGGACACGTCTCTGCTTCGCCAGCCGGAGATCGGCCAAGCGATGCTCGACCGGGGCTTCACCACGGTGCGAGACTGTGGCGACGCGCTGTTACCGCTGAAAGTGGCGTTTGAAGAAGGCATCCATCCTGGTCCCCGGCTTTTCATCGCAGGGCGTCAGCTATCGCAATCCGGGGGCTGCGGCGACAGGCGATCTGCTTTCGACGACGGCGACTGTTGCGGTGGTGGCGGCGCCAAACAGCTCTCCTGTCGGATCGTGGACGGCGTGCCCGAGTGTTTGAAGTTCACCCGAGAAGAACTCCGGCTGGGCTCCGACTTCATCAAGATCATGGCTGGAGGAGGAGTCTCGAGCCCACGCGGAGGTCTGGGCGACATGGAATTCACCGAGGATGAAATCAAGGCCATCACCACCGTGGCCTCCAATGCCGGGACGTTCGCCACGGCGCACGCATACACACCGGCGGTGATACGGCAAGCGGTGAACTGTGGTGTCCTCGGGATCGAGCACGGCAACTTCCTCGACAAAGCGACCGCGGAGCTCATGGCCCAGAAAGGGGTCTATCTGACACCGACTCTGGTGGCGTATGCCGCAGCATCGCTGCCCGAGTTTGGCAGCTTCGTGAGCCCCGAGTCGATAGCCAAGCTCAAGGACACCCTCGAATCCGGGCTCAGAGCCATCGAGCTGGCCAAGGAAGCAGGCGTCACTGTCTGCTTCGGGACCGACCTCCTAGGACCCCTGCACTTTGCACAAACCAAGGAGTTTGAGCTGCGGCGACAAGTGCAGTCTCCCTTGGAGATCATCCAGAGTGCCACAATCAACGCGGCTCGGATGATGCGCCGACCGGATTCCCTTGGGAGGGTGGTGCCGGGGTTCGTGGCCGACTTGTTGATCTTGAACGCCAACCCGTTGGAGGACATCACCGTTCTCGACAGACCTGAGAAACACCTGCTGGCCGTGTTTAAAGAGGGCCGAGTGGCTTCTTCCCGCTGGTCACGGCTGGAGGTGCCCACTCGGCGGCCTGCCAGAATTATGTAGTACATAGCCTGACATGTGTCATGTCCTAGCCATGGGATGTCAGTCGCCATTTGCGATTTGTAGCCAGGGCTTTAAAACCACTTGAGGCCATGGCTCGAAGAAGCCTCGCGATATTATTCGAGGCTGGATGTTCATTTCACAAGGAGAAAAATGCACCCTCTTTAGTAGGAGAGATGTACCACGTATGTACATAGGAGAGTCGCTTGGTGGCTCAACTAAAGCTCCTGGTAGTAATTAGCTTTCTAGGTTCGGGCTTAAAGCGGCCTTTGCTCCCCCCCAGAATCCTTCCGCATATGGCAATTACTAGGTTTTTCCATCTCATGAACCTCGATATCCAGCCAGCTGCGCTACTGAGTATACTCCCAGTCTATCCGGGTTGCTCCAGCAGGCCTTGTAAGAAATAGGCACACACAAACAAACTGTCGAGCCTGACAGCAAACTCCCCCGACCGCCACCATGGGTGTGAACAAGCTCCTCCCTACCGCCTACAGCTTCTCCCAGCTCCAGACACTTCCGCTCTCCCTGTCTCTCCGCCGGACGCTATTGCGGGCGCACCACCAGCACGACCCCTTCTCGATCCGTGCCCCGAGACTGAACATATTCCGCGCCTCATCATCGTTGTCCTCAACCTCCTCCTCCTCCACCACGCAACACATCTCCGCCTCCGCTACGGTCGACGACCGAATCGTGCGCCCACTCGTCCCTCCCCCGCGCGAAGGGTCAGGACCTCTGCTCTCACGGCGCCCGGACCGCGCACTACCAGACCTCCCGCGCCCGATCTCGATCTGGCTCAAGACGCTTCCCGTGTTCATCGTGCTGGTGACGCTCGCGTCGCTGGCCATCTTCAACTACGAAAAGTCGTCGTCCTCGACCGTCAACTCGATCCTGTACGCCCTGCGCACCAACCGCCACGCGCGCGAGCTGCTCGGCGACGAAATCTACTTTGCCAGCAAGGTGCCCTGGATCAGCGGCGAGCTGTCGCCCATGCAGGGCACCATCGACATCAGCTTCTGGGTCAAGGGCACGCGAGGCACGGCAAAGACCAAGTTCGTAAGTCTCCGACGCAACAGCCGCGGCGGGTTTTTCGAGACCCTCGAGTGGAGTCTGCAGACCGAGGATGGGACCGTGGTGCAATTGCTCGACAAGGAGGGAACGAGGGATCCCTTGGAGGGACAGCGGCTTGACTAGTTTTCTTTTGGAGAACGAGCAAAGGCTGGGAGAGACAAAAAGAAACAAGGTAGAATCTAAAAAAGGCGAAATTTTGTTGTACATTGTATTATTATAATAATACCCTGTGCCCTTGTGCTGGAGACGGCGAGTAAGCAAAAAGCCCGCCCACGCCCACGCCCACGCCCACTGTCCATTGTCGAAACGGTGGCCCAGACAGAAAATAAATGAGAAGAGTGAGGGACTTGACATCATTTCCTGCCAAAACGTGAAAGGCCCAAAGAGAAACACTTTTTTTTCAGTCGCCCGGTTTAACCTTTGAACCCTGGGTGTTTATGCCCGTTGTGCCAGCGCCGACGGCTTTCCGCTGCGGCATCTTGCCAATGTTATAGCCCCACGACCTCAGCGTCTTGACGACTTTCGGCAGGACCGCGGCGGTGAGAGGGACGCGGATGAAGATGAAGGATTTGTGCACGGCGTACGCGAGGGCAAGTTGGGTCCAGATACCTAGAAGCAAAAAGAAAACACGGATATTGTTAGCTTTGTTTTTTCTCGTCCCGGTCTGCCTCTGCGCAGATGAGGTGTATACTCCCCCAGACACCCAACACGGACACAGAGACATATAGGAAAAGGGAAGAGAAGAAGGGAGGGTTAGAAGCACATACTAGCATTGTCCCCTCGATTTGCCTTCTCCGCAGCTTTGTACCCGTGGTCGTTGGTCTCCTCTTCCAGGACCCTGCCGCCGGCCTGCTCGACCTGGCTCACACCGGCTTCCCCAGAAACCCCGTCGATGGCCCCGTCGGCCGCCATCTCGGCCTTCGCGGACCCCTGGATCGGCCACTTGACGATGGACTTGAACGTCTCGACCACGACGTGCTCGTAGTGCCCGATCGTCTCGGTGCCCATCATGCGGACCGCCAAAAAGCAGAAGGGGAAGTCGAGCGCCGAGAGCGCCAGGTAGACGCCCACGGCCGTCCAGCCGTACTCGCGCGACATGGTCTTCAGGCGTTCCTTGATAGAGGGTTTCGCGGACGTGGCGGAACTGGTGGTGCTCGAGTTGTAGCGGCGGCCTGTGGCATTGTTGTTCCGCCGTGGTAGTCGTTGGGTTTGTGGTCGGAATGATCGGAAGGGGGAGGGCGACGAGGTGCTCGTAGGTCGCTGGCTGTGTATGGACCGCTTCAAAAGAGCTCGGTGAGGGTATAGAAGGGACGGTCTGGTGCGGAACGATTGCTGTAGGGGCGCTCGAGTCTGAGAGAAGAGCTGTCTCAAACCAACATTGCGCTGGAAAACGCGCACCCCCTCCATTGCCTTGACCTTTTCTTGACCTTTAGAACACACCAATTTGACAGAGCATCAAATGTTTGTAAAGGTGTTGGGGTTGGGGGGGTTGCAGGATTTGGAGGGGAGAAAATGCCATCAAAACTGCGGTGCCTGCGATGTCATTTCACCACCATCGGAGTCGGAACCCGAACGAACTTTGCTGGCGGTCAGCCTCGTCCAAGGCCAAAAAAGGGGGGGAAGCTGCAGCCTCAGCGGAAAATTCATCTATGCCAGCTACTCTCAGGCAAAAATAATGTCTGAACATATTTCCTTCATGTCTTTGTAAACAGCTCCTTCACATCACCATAAAACACATCAGGGCCAATCCACTGGCTTGTACTCCGAGCTCAAGGTCCACCCTATGTATCATGCACATTGAACAATTCAACTTGTCAAGTACGCGAGCTGCTCCCACTCCAAAACGTGACTCTCGTTGTTCATGACAGTTTCCAAGAACACAGCCAACACTCTGTAGCCCCAATAACAGACTCTCCGGCTTCCGACAAAAAGGCTCATTTTGTACATTTTGTACATGATCCTATCCTCTGCACACTCCAAGCTTCTAACGACGTTTTGGTGGCCTCCCTCTCCTCTTCGGAGCCACCACTTGACTGGCGCGTGCAGGACCGTGATTAACGGAAGTCCAAGCACCGCCTGGGCCGCCTGGTCCACGAAGTGGTGCGCCATCGTCCGAATCATCACTATCCGCCCACTCCGAAGCCAACGCTTTCACAGTCGGTGCAATTACGCGTTTCGGTGCAGCCGGGGCAGCCGGAGGTCTTCCCGCCTGTTTTTTGTTATTCGTGACGGGCTTGGGAGGTGAAGGTGGTAAAGGAGGTGGAACAGCTTCTTCCTCTTCTATCTCTTCATCTCTGCCAGTGACCGCTTCTACCTGAGCTGGAGGAGTGGCCTTACTGCCCAAGGAATCGTCCTCTAAGAACGACCCTCGAGACCAAACATCGTCTAGGTCTTCGCTCTCGTTCTCCATCCACTCGATGGCGGCCATTTTTGCCCGTCGATTCGCCTGCGCTTCAGCTGCAGCTCTTGCGTGATCTAGGTTCGAAGTAGCTAACGTTGATTTAGTAACAGTCGTTTTCGTTGGAGGCGGTGCTGGTGAGTATACAAAGTCCGATCTCTCACTTCGCTCGTCTGGGGAGTTTGTCGTTGCGGTTCTATAGACACTTTGCACCACAGTCAGTTTGGGCGCTTTCGTGGCCGTTAGTGGTGCTGGCTTGGGACCGCTCGCTGCAACTTCAGCCGGCGGGCTCGAGGCAGAGCTCGGATTCTCTGGAGATTCATTGTCCAAGGACATGGAAGAATCAAAGTCTGACTCGGCATCGTCCAACCTCACCACGTTCATCGTCGGTGTGTTCGTGGATTTGCGGCGCTCAGAAGCAGGCTCAGAGACAACCTCGTTGAACTCATCCTCTGATGGCTCTTCATAGTGGGATTTTTGCATCCGGGTTTGCCGCCTAGTAATCTCTGCGTCAGGCGGCGGTCGATGCGCTCCATCTGTGGTGTGTTTCCGGCGGTCGCGATATCGACCGGGCATAAATTCATCATCTTGTTCGACAGCAACATGTTCATCACCTCGCCGAATCTTCTTTGGCCCGGTCTGAGGATTTCCTTCGGCCGCGTTAAGAGCTTGCAGGTCCGAGCTGATGACTGGTGCAGGTGCTTCCACTCCGCCCAAGGCCCGCCGTGCAACATTTGCCATTCTTTCAATCTCTTGAAGTCTCTCTGCTGGAAGCGGCAACTTCACAATCAGAGACTTTCGGGCCTTGTTTTTCTCAGTGTTGGGTTTCTTGGGATAATAAGGACGGTCACCATCATCAATCCTCACGCGCTTCCGTTTTCGCTCGACCATTTCAATCTCTGCCCGGTCCTCTCCGCCAGCAGTCGCATATCCTGAAGATACGACCGCTTGCTCTTCCTCGACACGGACAGGAATATGAAGACCGCCCTCTGGATCGGGATAGTCATAAGTGATAGCCTCGGTGGGATCGTAAGCGTGCTCAACATTCCTGATGACGCCACCTTCGGGAAGTGCATATTGAGTTGCAACGTCGTCAATGGGGATTGACTCTCCTGCGACCTTCACTCCTTCGGGGTTTTCGTCGTAGTCGTCCTCGTCATCTGCAGGGGACTCAGGTGGACCTAGAGCTCCCAACGCCGGATCGATCGGTATCCCCTCTTGTTGCGCCAACCGAAGGAGACCCTCCTCGACTTCGTCATCCATCTGTTGATCACCGTCGACATAATGCTCACCGAGCTCAGGCCTGATTGCCTTGGCTACTTCTGCCTCTTGACGACGCTTTTCGAGGCGACGTGAGTGATCCCCGTGATCATCGTCTGCTTTTTGGATCCACGCGATGTTCGAGTAGCTGAAGTCTACCAGACTTTCCACCGAGCGCGGGTCGGCTATTGCCTTGGTGTTGTGACCAAGGATAGTTCCCGACGGGGTGTAGGGCTTGTACCCCGGCCTCGTCTTACATTGACGGCAGCCACAGATATTTAGACAGCTCGGACACAGCCAGTTCGGATCGGCGAGAATGTCCTGTGGCTTCATGTCGAATCTTCGGAAAAGAGTGCCGTAACAATAATTCTTGCTGCATTTCGTGCACGTTGCTTGTTTCCATTTAGGCTCCCAGTGGAAATCAACATGACAACGAGCGTGTGCCTTCAGAAACTTTTCGGTTCGCTTGATCTTTTTCTTTTTCTTGACGATCCCGTTGGCGTCCACCTCCTCCACTTCTTCGCGATCGTCACCTGTCACAGGCGATGGCGGACGCTTCCTGTCTCGATATGGCCTCCTGTCTAATTCACACTGGCAGATCTGCGCCAGAGTTCTCTTGCTGCCGAGTCTGTCCAGTTCAATTTTCAGTGGCATGGGTGATTTTTCAGTCACCCTGCCCTCATATTGCAGAATCTGCAGGCGCCATTGTTCGTGTTTCTGGGTCAGCTCTCCCCAAGGCCACTGCTCGACCCACCTCAATTTTGAAATGCATGCACAGCTTCGGCCCATTGCATAACACTCCATGCAGATGTCATATGTGTCTTCTTCGCCGTTTGCCAACTGCTCCACGCAATTGGGACAGGTGAGAAACCGGTTGAAAATATTGCAGCGGCAATATGAACAAGTAATGTTGCTCTCGTACGGGATATACTCAACCTTTTTCTCGGGACGGGCCGGAAGGAAGCTTTCCGACACCAATATTTCAGTGAACAGAACCTGCAGTCTGCGGAAGTCCTTTTCTAGCTGCCTGACCTTCGAGTCGCCTGGGTTTCTATGTTTGGGGCCTATTGACTTCTGTCTGAACTTCTCTGCCAGCCGAAGGAGTTTCGAGTATTTTTGCATGGTGTAATAAACGATTGCCTTGTTCTTGTACTGTTCATCGCGGCATACCATCCTCGCTCGTGGTAGAGCTTCATGCATTGCCATCTCGAGAGTTTCGACGGTTGTTCTGTTCCAAGCGACTTTCATCGTTCTGGTTCCACGGTTCCACACCTGATGCGGAGCCAATGGAGGAATAAGGATAAAATCACCGGGCTTCTGTTCGACAACGTATGTCTTGAACGGTGCATTCTTCCACGCGTTGACTTGGGCGAAATGATTTTCGATCTCAATGTCATGACCAAGGCGAGAAAGCCAGTACTCGGCGACCACCTCCCGTTCTTTGGTTTCGGTCATGAACCAAATAGAAGAACCTGGCTTGGTGATTTTTCCGTCTTCAGCTAGGCCTGTGGAAGCTTCGACCATGATGTTCTGACCAAGACTTGCGCACATCTCACGGTGGGCCGGGGTATAGGTGCCTTCGTGACCGATATAGCACATGAGGTTTTCCGCGCGCATTTCTTTTGGAAGACTGCTCATCAAATCTCCAGCTCTGGCGATTCCCTTCCCTTTTCTCACACCTGGCCGAATAGGGTCGTTTTGGTCCATTGCTCCAAACCCACCCACATCACCTGTGGACTCATTGAGGTAGAAGAGACCCGCAGGAATGATTTCCGATAGTTTATCTTGCCACAGCTGCGGGCAGTCGATATCTTTGAGATACATCCGCTGACGCGCGGGGTCCTTGTAGTTCCGTGGTGTCCACTGGTTTGTCAATAATGCCATATTATTCAAGTAGTGGCCAATCGATAGCGGGACATTGGCCTTCTTGGTGAGATCTCTTGCGTTTTCAACTGAAGGACGCCGTCAGGACGTAATGTGTATTTTGAGAGCAGCGCAAATCCTACCTTTTGATCCACAGTTGTCACGGAGCCACTGCAGCGCGAAAGTCCATCTGTCAAGTCGTTGTTCATAACCCTCGATGACAAGAGGTTTTCCACCGAGAATGACATGAATGAGGACCAGTTTCTCGAAGTTTTCCAGGCCCTGGTGATCTATCATGTCGCAGTGGATGCGAACAACCCACTCGAAATTCGGCTGAGACTCGACCAGGGCTTTCAGATCGAAGTCTGGTGAGATGGGCTCAAATGCCGCACAAGGTCGTGTGGACGGCATGGTCAGTCCGTCTCAAGAAGAGGACGAATGGTCTTTTTCAGTTGTACAACCCTTCTCTTTCGCATTGGTGATTCGGAAATGAAACGCATTCTCGCCGAGGCTGTGGGGCAAGCAGACCGGACGGTCAATCTGCGGAATGCCTGCTCGACGGAGATTCGGGTGACCGAGGTAGAGGGATGTGATTAGGGCGAGAGGAGGTGACGATACATTAAGCGGAACGTGAAGGAACGGTGCAGCCAGGAATTACAGGCGCAAACTGCAAGTCGTAAAGGTTCACCGTCGAATCTCGCGACGCGCCTTCGGGAACAAAAGTTCTGGTTGCGGAGAAAGGCTGCGCTATTCCTCAAACAAACGGCGCGACCTGAAATTCTTCTCAGCCTTGCGTCGCAACTTTTTCAAACATTTTTGTCCCCGAAGCTACCATGGAAGCCCGCTAGACATGTCTCGGACGCTCAGAACAGCGCATGCAAAGATTCTTTGCAAGACGTTCAGGCTATCTTCTCGGTCTGCTACGTCGGTGTGTGGGTTTCGGGCATATCAGCACAGGGCTCTTCATCATGCAACGCCCCCCTGCAAACAACGACCTGTATTGGCGCTGGTTTGCTCCGCGAGTCCAGGGAGACATCTAGCGACATCGGCCTCGTCCGCCCCATTAGCCCAGGATCTCCCGACGATATACAAACTCCCCACGACCGGTATCATATCAAGACTGCCCTCATCATGGATTCCTTATGCCGAACTAATCCGGCTCGACAAACCCGCGGGGACATACTACCTCTTCCTCCCCTGCATGTTTTCGACACTTCTGGCAGCGCCGATGGCTGTACCAATGGCCTCCCCGCTGGAGGTGCTATCGACCACAGCTCTTTTCTTCTCCGGCGCTCTAATCATGAGAGGTGCTGGCTGTACAATAAACGATCTCTGGGATCGCAACCTGGATCCACATGTCGAACGCACACGACTACGACCCATTGCGCGGAAAGCCGTTTCTGTTGAAAATGCAATTGTATATCTAGGCGCACAGCTTCTTACTGGATTGACGCTGCTCTTGCAATTTCCCTTACCTTGTCTCTACTATGGAGTCCCTAGCCTCCTTCTAGTCACTGTATATCCTCTGGCGAAGCGAGTCACCCATTACCCTCAGTTTGTCCTCGGCCTGACCTTTTCATGGGGTGCCATCATGGGCTTTCCGGCTTTAGGCATCGACCTTGTCTCCAATCCTGAGGCACTTGCGGCGGCGGCTGCACTGTACGCCAGCTGTGTCGCGTGGACCCTCAGTTATGATATGATTTATGCCTATATGGACATCAAGGATGATGTCAAGGTGGGCATCAAGTCGATCGCCCAAGCACACCAGCACAATTCCAAGACCGCCCTGGGTGTTTTCTCTGCCGCTCAGATCGGACTGCTCGCCACCGCCGGTTATTTTGCTGGAGCAGGTCCGATATTCTTTATTGGAAGTTGCGGGGGCGGGGCACTGGCTTTGGCGACCATGGTTCGACGGGTGAATCTGAATGATGTCAAGGATTGTTGGTGGTGGTTTAAAAACGGTGCCTGGTTCACCGGCGGAGTCATATCTCTCGGTCTGTTTGGAGACTATATTCATCGGAAGTCTCAAGAGGAGTCTCGTCTCACTGCTGAGGCGGTTGGCGACGCATAATCGCATTCCGGTCGTCACTGACCATTGGCCTCATAAAAATCCTGGATACCAAGTCCCAAGTGCTCGTCGACGTAACTCACAATCTCCTTCCAGTCCATCATAGCGCCATCGCCTGTGTCGCCACAAGCGAGCTCCTTCTCCGTAGGACGCAGGATCGTGAACCAACCGTCCTTATCGGCGCCCCAGTCCTCCTGTAATACTTGAATATGCTTCTTCGTGATCGGATGGCGCCACATGGCAGTGTTCATGGCCGGCGCGACAAATATCCTCTTCTTGCGCATATCGATCAAGCCAGTCGTGTCCCACGCCCGGATGACGTTCAGGAGCAGACCATCACTGATGCCATTGACAATCTTCGCCATGGTGTTGGCCGAAAGGGGCGCCACGATCAGCACGTGGGCCCAACGCCTCAGTTCAATGTGTAGGATCTTGTCGCCTCGCACCCAGGGCTTTGACCACTCGTCCTCCTCGTGGTAGACGCCGTCCACCCCGGGGCAATCCAATAGAGAGCGTAGCGGGGGTTGTTCGGCCGACTGGCCTTGCAGAAACTGCTCGGCGGATTCTGTCAGGACGATGCGGATGGACACATTCGGGTGCGAACCAAGGGATCTGGCAATCAGGGGGATCTTTATCGCCGCTACGGAGCCGCTTGCGGACAGGAGAATGTGGTGTTTACCGTCATTTTCATAGGCGGCGGCGGAGAAACGCTCGCCGCTGCTTGTGGGGTTTGTGGTGGTCATGGCGCTTTTGTTTTCTGATGTGTATGGGAGAAGAGAAAAGAGGCAATTACCTTTCTCAGAGTCTACATTCCCTTCTTATAGAGCGGTATGTAAAATTCACTCGGTCGATTTGTCAGGTGTTCAAAGGAGAGGAAATACCGTGTAAATCTGGGGGAGGAAGCGCAGCACCATAGGGCCGACGTCCATTTGTCAACCACGTTGATTGACATCATCCGAGCCGCCATCGACAATTTTCTCCAACAGCGTCGCATGGTCCAAACTTGACTCCTAACCTGTTTGTTCAGCCACACCCGACACAACTTCCACGATGCTGCAGAGAACGCTAAGAACACCTGTAACGTCTTTTTCCGTCACCCCAATATTGCAAACGACAGAGGAAACTAACTACTACGAACAGGCCCTTCGCGGCGTCCTCGCCTCCATCTCCCCCCGCGCCACTTCAGCCTCTCTCCTCCCTCGCATATCAACTGCTCTCTCACAGACGCGGCTCCTCTCTCAAGAAGTCCGCGCTGCGATCGACAGAGCCGTAGCCTCGGCGCCGGTGGTGCTATTCATGAAGGGAACCCCAGAAACACCACAATGCGGATTCTCACGAACGTCGATCCAGATATTGGGCTTGCAGGGTGTAGATCCCCGGAAATTCACTGCTTTCAATGTTTTGGAGGATGATGAGCTGAGGAGTGGTACGTCTCTCCATACACCCGGCATCTAGCAGCTGCTCCCAAGCTCCTAGACAGTGTGCAATCGTCTGGCTCGCGACCCAAGGAAACTTGAGTTGAGCGACAAATCTATAGGCAGCCGAAGCTAACCGGGTTCAAACATGTGTTTACAGGAATCAAAGAATACTCGGACTGGCCGACAATTCCCCAGCTATACGTCGACGGGGAGTTCATCGGCGGCTGCGACATCCTGATCAACATGCACAAGGACGGCAGCTTGGCAGAATTGCTTGCGCAGAAGAAGGTCATCCTTACGGAAGAGGGTGACGAGGATGTCGAGCCGACCTCCGCTGGCGGTGACAAGAGCGGTGGAGATGTAGAAGGCCAAAAAGCACAAGAGGCACGAGAAGAGACTGAGCAGAGCACTGGGGCCAGGTCCAAGGATGCCAAGGGAGAGAGCTCGTGAAAAGGCCCTCGACTCGAGGAGGGATGCGATGGAATGAGTCATGCATGGTCCGAGCGTAGCAGTTCAGGCTCATGAGGCTCACACCGAAGATTGCGAGAAAGCACGATCTCCCAGCATCATCGAATGTGCACCTCGTTCAAAGGGTCAAGAAAGTCTCGTGTTCACAGATGTATGTTCATTCTCCCAAACACTTCCAAATGCCTCGGCGACAATATGTACAAAACAACAATATATGCGCGGCCCGAGATCGCATGGGCCATAATCAAAAATCCATCATCACCGAGTCGAACTGCTTCCCCCGGCTTATTCCTTTTCATTCATTCCCAGTTCGCTCCCGATGCTAGCTGGCCATCATAAAAACAAAAGGAAAAAAGAGAGAAAAAAAAAAACAGGACTCTCAAACGTGTCATGAGCCATCATTCAAAAGCACGTCTCTCTTTCTCCTCTTCAATCACCACACCCCACTCGTGCTCTCGTCGGCCATACATGATGTCCTTCAAGGCCTGCTTGACGGCCATGGCAAAGCTGGCTCCGTTGGTCTCGGCAGCAACACCGTTCTCCTGCCCTTCCCTTCCCAGCGGTAGGACAAGATCTGAACCTCGGAAATGAATATCCTGCACCGGGGAGATGAAAAAGGCCGTCCCGGCTCCAAACGCCTCGAGGAGTCTCCCCTCGTTCTCGGCCTCGATGAGTTCATGCATGGTGAATTTCCTCTCAACCACATCCACATTACCGCCGCCGATCGCCCCAGATTTGACGAGTTCCAGCACCGACGCGCGCGTGACGCCTTCGAGAATGACTCCGTCTTCCAGCGGTGCGGTGACAAGCTCTCTCCGTCCGGTTTGCTTGTTGTCCCACAGCACGAAGAAATTGGAGCCGCCTGCTTCAGTGACGAAGCACTCGTTCCCAAACAACCACAGAATCTGATCGTAACCCCTGGCCCGTGCTTCTCCCTGCGCGACGAGCGACGGTCCGTAGTTTGCCCCGACTTTCGCGTTTCCAAATCCGCCCGGCCAGGCTCGGATCATGTCGTGCCGGGAAGCAAGGAGGCGCATCCCCTTCGAGGCTGTGGGCTGCGCAGGAAGAGAAGAAGGGGGTTTGCAGCTCGGGTCGTCTAAAGACGGGAACATGACCATGATAATATACATCAATGCCTCCTTGGGTCTCTGTACACCGAGAGCAGGTGCCGTTGCTATCATGGTTGGTCGAATGTAAATGAAAGATTCCGGCTCGGCGATCCATTTGCTTGCCTCGACGCCGACGAACTTCTTCAATAACTTGACAAATTCCTCTGGCGGGAAGCTGGGCAGTGCAATCCGAGTTGCTGATTGTAAGAATCGTCTTGCGTTGCGGTCGGCCCTGAAAAGGCGGACCTTGCCATCCACGCCTCTGTATGCCTTCATTCCTTCAAAGCACTCGGTGGCATAATGCAGGACGGATGCCGTGGGCATGATTGACAGCGGCCCGTAAGGTCTGATTTCGGGCGCTTCCCATCCATCTTTCTCCGTCCAGCGAGCGGTCAGCATATGATCCGTCGTGCAGCTCTGCGACCAGACTTCTGGCGAGTTGGCCACCGGCACATGCTTGGGGTTGAGGTTGCGGGTAATGGTCAGTTTCGAGGCATCTAGCTCTGCAACTCGACGGCTGTTAGAGGCAGTCTTCTCAAGTATTGCGGCCGTGCCAGCCTTGGTCAATTTAGAAGTATCGTCAAGGGTGGGAGATGGCGGAGAGACAGGCGTAACAGCAACTGGAGCCATGATGACTGACTTGATGATCAAAGATGATCAATTGACTCAAAGAACAAAGAATGTGTCAACACTAGCCAGGATAGATGAGCCGCTTATAAGAAGTTAAGATACAACAGGGAAAAGGTCGAAAGGAATAGAAGAACAAAACCTTGACTCATATATCGCCTTCGGCAGACGCGGGTACCTGGACATAAAAAAAAAACACAATACAAGAGACACAAGACTGGTGTTGGAGTGGATTCTCGCAAGGTTTTGCGGTGGAACAAGGCATACATCCCAACGATGGCACATCCAGAGATAGATCCGTTCCGTTGGTCTGCCAATCCACATTCTTTGACGATCGCGACTTACCACGTTCCCACGCTAAAGCAGTACGCCTTTGAAAGTACAAGGTCTTATCAGGGCGGTCCTGCACCCACCGAATGCGAAGGACGCCCGCAAGACCGGGACACATCGCGTCACATGGTTGCAGAAGAGAACCGAGAGATTTTCAGAAGAGAAATTTTCCACTAGGTTCTTGATGCCAGCGGGGTTGGCCACTGATTGCAACACAATGAAGGTCTTCATACCTACCTACACGTTGAGATTGGTGGGACAAGATCACCAATTGGGAGGAAACAAGGCTTCGCTGAAAAACTCCGGCTTCGATTCCGCGAGTTAAATTGACCTCATTTGCCCGAGTCCGATGCGGATATTCGCGGATATCGACAGTCTGAAGAGGCGAAGAGCGAGACGCGGGCCGTCCATCTGTGTACTGCAATCTGCACAAAACACGGCCTTTCAGTTCTTGTTGAGGATGGAACAGGTCAGCTGTTGCGATCATGACCTCACCCTAGACCGACATTTCTAACCTCGCGCATTTGAGTGTCAGCACGGGACCGATGACCGTTCACGTGTAGCACTCTCTGCTGGTGTGGTTGCAACCATCCGGTATCTCGGGTCCAAATGTCTTTCACAACGCCGCAAGCTGCTCAATGGATTGCATGAGGCCCTTGAACAACTTGCTCTTTTGCACGTTATATTGCTGTGATCGCCCATTAGGATGGAGTCGAGCGTGAGGTGAAGAGTCCATACCTGCTGCATGTCGGCGGCTGCCTTCTTCGTTCTATTCGAGATCTGGCCAATGGTCTCTTCAAATCCTGTCATGTCTTGTTCCAGTTGTGCATGTTGGTGGTGAATCTCATCATGTATCTTTTGAGCAGAGTCAAGGGTGTTCTCCAGTCTCTCTTGCTGGCCTGGCTTCATGGCTCTATCTTGAAGCTGGACGATGAGGAGTGACTGCTTTCCGAAGGCCTCGACGGCAAGTCTTATCAGATCAAACTGGATATCTTCCCACTCCTTCCACAATTTGCTCAGGACGTCCTCTTTCTCTTCTCGCAATGCACGAAATTGCATGATACGATCTTTGAGCAAGACTTCGCCCTCAGCCCCTTGGTTACCTGTTCCGTTTGAGACTTTCGTTAACGCTTCGGTAGCAAGTGGTCTTTGTAACGGCTCTTCTATCTCTGCCAATCCACGAAAATGACTTTCGATATTGACGGAGAGTTCTGTGAGGCCTCCGATCAGTTTTCTCTCAGCCTCGTCTAGCATGCTTGTGCTTTCGATTTGCACATTCTCTCGGTACTGTTCGAGACTTTCTGGAGGTAATGAGCATAGGTCAAGTGATAGGAGGGCTAAATACCTGTAAACTTGTCTGCTAAAATTGAACTTGGCTCCGGCTTTTTCCTGTCGCTTCCTCTGACCTTTGAGATTCGATGAAAACCACGCCCTTCGGAGCGATCAACTCTTCCAGGTTTGGTCGTGTTTGGTGGTGGCACTGGCTGGCGTTTAGATGGAGTTTTGGCAGCCGCATCCTGAGACCGAACGAAGATGGGTTTGACAGCCATAGGACGAGATGTGCTGTTGACAGATTGCATGTTGGTGCATTAGCGTGCAACGTGTAACGAATGGCACCTCGCAGAATTGCTGAATGGGCAACTTGCTTGGATTCGAAATTGAGTTGAGATGAGACGAGATGAGGACCTACATAGGTAGGAGGCGGAACTGCGATGAACAGTGCAGATTTCCCCGCTTGTCCATTGTGAGGCTGTCTTTTGACTCCCTCGTCCTCATGAGAAAAGCTTCCAACCTGCCTTCTGACCTGTTCTCTGCTTCTATCATTCGTCATGTATCGAGCACCTAGTTTTGATGCTGTAGCTTCACCTTTTCATTGTAACCTCTACATGCTCTCTTGTGTCCGACCACCGTTGTAACTCAAGTACCGGCATCCTCTAGATCAAAGAGCATCACACTCTGCTTCCAGCCTCATACCTCTCTCGATCTAATGCTCATCGGAAATAAAATCCTGATGCCCTGAAGAAACGACAGCACCGCCACAAGGACATGGTCCCTGATGTGCTTTAACGCATGCAATGGGGCACGGTGGTGTGGCACCCAATTACGATGGCACGGCCTGGAAGCAACATCCTTGACGTCGACAGTGATCGAGATGCAACGGTCCAAGTGCCCGGCAAGGTGGTGCAAGGGGAGTCTTGCCCTGCGTCATCGGGGTCCCTGACAGCGCAGATCCTGTGGCTGCTTGTCGTGTTGATGATTGGCCGAATACGACGATCTACCACGAGGACTTCTCTTTCGATAGTCAAACCTGTTTTCCTTCAATGCTTCTTGATCTCTTTAGAGTAATAGACGAACCACGACGCTCCAAGACCGTTTCGTGGCCGAGTAGTGGCCCTCACAATATGACGTCGCTGGTCGTTTGGGGTAAATGACAGGTAAATCCCACATTCTGCAAGGTATTGATAAACGTTGATGTTGGCTCTATCTGAGGTTTGGATTCCACTCTCTCTCCACATCTCACAGACACACTACATTGAAAGATCCCTTCTCTAAATACCAAATAAACAAAACAACTATCAAAATGGTTCTAGGAAGAAAGACCAAGCGCCATGCCGGTGGAACAACGGTCACCACGACCACGACTACTACTCATCATCCACCAGAGGCAGCAATCCGTACCAAGCCTACCCTCAAGCAGCGCTTAATGGGCGGAACACGGACCAGGCCCACCACCGCTGCACCCACACGAAGACGTCGGGTCGGTGTGCGCCGCACACCTGCGACCACCAGGACCACCCCCCGTCGCAAGACCAGCATCGGCGACAAAGTCTCTGGTGCGATGCTGAAGTTGAAAGGAAGCCTGACCAGGAGGCCCGGACAAAAGGCTGCGGGGACTAGACGAATGCACGGGACGGATGGGAGGCGAACCCGTCGATATTATTAAAGGTCCTGATACAGAAATGCAGCAGAGGCAGCAGAGACCCTCCACGCCTCGACTTCTGGGAAGGGCCTGGTCCGAGTCCCTCCTGTCCGTGTGGAGAAGCAGAGAGAGATTGACAAGCATGAGCCCTTTATTCGGTGCGGGTCCTATGCGAAACGAGCCAAACGAAAGTGTATTGCCACGCGGGGCTGATACATGGTGATTTATTATCAGCGGCATCAGATGTACGACTATTACGAGACTGAGATACCACAATCATAGTGAGAATTGTAATTTTACATGTCGAGACAAAATGATGAGAAATTGTATGTGTCATTGTCTTTGATCTTTACTCTTTCGTCTCACAGCGTAGAGGAATATGCCTTCTTTCTGATCCGCTTCCTTGCCATCGTACTCGATATATTCAGCTTGGAAACTTTTCGTCATGTCACGGATGAACCGCATGTCGGCTTTCCGTCTCTTCTTGAAGCAGAAGTAGCAGGTCGTTTCGGGGCCGATGAGATCGTTCAGGGTCTGGAGTAAAAGCGGGAAAGTAGGTTCAAAATAGACGCAGTCTGCCGCGAGGACGACGTCGGGGTGCTGATGTTGGGTGCGAGAGGACAAGATGGTGGGAGGAGGCGCGGTGCCCCAGTCGTAGACCTCTGCGACAACCTTGTCTTCTAGTTTGTTGAGTGTGATATTCTTCCTCATCAGCGCCAGCATCGGTATCTGGTCCGTGATGTAGATCTTCTGGTCGCTGTCGAGTTCACACCCCAGTGCGACTGCGAGCCCCACCAACCCGCCACCTGCACCGATCTCCACGACAGACTTTCCTCGCAGCGACCCAGCCCTGTGGTATCTCAGCATGTATTTTGATAGGACCATACCGGCGGGCCAGAGTTGGCCGCCACATCCTTCTTGCAGATCTTCGTGGAGGATGAGGGATCTGGTGGAGGGGAGCAGGTTGTCAAAGGTCAGACTTGTTGTTGCGGGCTTCTTGTTGTCGCCCTCGGGAATGAGGGCGGTAGATATGCCAAAGACGTCGTTCTCTGGAGAGGGGGAGCGGGAGGCAGGCATATTTGGGTGGGCTGGTAGTACTGTAACTCGTTGAATCGAGGAGACTTTTTATTGCGCTGCGGAGTTTCTCATTCTTGCTCCGCTATCGGACTTAATGCTGTTTGATCAAGGGTGCTTGCTAAAGGACCAGGTTGAGACTCGATACATGCTGCGGTTAGTTTATAGGACTGCTTGGTCTCTCGTAGAATGGTGGCTGTCGCCGCGTACGGACAATCTACAAAAAGAAAAACACGAAACTTTTTCGACAGAGGGCTCACCCGCGAGGCTGCTGATAGACCCCGATATCAGGCAACCGAAATGATTGGATGATAGCTTAGCGGACAGATAATCCGGGGTAACATGCTTAGCTGCAGCTGTTCCTACCTTAGAGGCATCTCTTTCCCAAGGTGTAAGATGGTTCTCATCTGCCTTGTGAGTCCAACAACCCAGATGGAGCTGTTCGAGAAACATGAAATGCCCTTGGATCCGAGGCAACAATGACAAGGTCGATGATTGGAAGGTGAAAGAATCCCAGGTCTCCAAAGGTTAACGTCAGGTGTTCCATAATTGCACCAGATTGATCCTCGGCACTGACATCATCGAAAATCCCAAGCCACCGAATTTGTACTTGCAGACGGTCATTACAAAGTGGAGTGCCCCCAGCAATCTGTGGCTCAGCTCTGTGTGGGCATGTAATATTCGTGTCTCCCCCTCAATATTACCGCCTTGTTACTCCCCGTGTCGTCATTGTTTTTGCGCCATAGTAGCTGAAGCTTTGGTTTCCCGGTTGCTCTGGCGCCACTATTGCAAGTCTCCAAGTCACTTCGGTCCCTCTGCGCCCCCCCCTGCACGTCACAAGGTTCTTCAATATAAGCTTGCCTCGAAGCTCAACCTCATCCCATCCCTTCTCTTTCCTCCTCCCAAGAAGCGCAGTTCCATCGACCTCTGATCTCCCTTGCCGCCGCAACAACTCAAGACCCCCAAATACATCCTCAGTCTTCTATTTACCCAACAACTACACCACAATGGCAACTCTGCACTGTATGTCCTCACTTCCCCCCTCCAATCCCTCATTGAATGTACTTCTACGTCACCACCCGAGACTTCCAAAGACAGAGCTCATTCTTGGACCAAACGTCTGCAACAAATCTAAGAGCACTCTGCTAACCTGCTCCCTCTCCTCCAGACCTTCCACCCGTCAAGCCCTCGGCAATTGCCCTGGGCATCGTCTTCAACCAGGCCGCCTCCGCCGCCGTGCTAGCCCCTCTATTCGGTGACACCTACCACCGTGCCAAGGCCGCCGACAGCAAGGAAGAATTCTTCAAGTCGAAGGAGACTGCCACCGCCGCAGCCAGCTGGGGTTCGTCCATTGTTGGATCTGCCGTGCAGACTTATGGTGTTGCTGCCCTCATCAATGCCACTGGCACTCTGTCATACAAAGGAGCTGCATATCTCGGTGGTCTGATCTTCATGGCTTCCTACAGTCCATCGGTACGTCCAGACCCCGTACAGTCCGTGGTCAAAGACTAACCAAACACCCGCTCAGCTCGTCTCTCAAGTCGTCGTTGAAAACCGGCCTCTGGACACCGTCGCAGTCGGCGTTTTGACCCGCCTGTTCGAGACTGTTGGCCTGAGTGTGTTCCTCACGTACTGGGGAACCCGGACCAACCCCTTTGAGTAAATCACCTTCTCTACTATGAATTGACACTTTGGGTGTAATACGAGGGAAGGAAGCCGTGGAAGCTAGACGGACAGTGAGTGCGATGGAGCAGACCACAGGCACATAGTGAAAGTCGGACATGCAGATCACAAATGGGAGTTCGGAAATGGCAGGACAGCTGATCCCATCAAGTGTATCCATAAAAATCAATCTTCATTGAAACATGAGAGTTACACTTTGATCTCTCTCTCTCTCTCTCTCTGAATAACAGCACCATGTTCAGGCTGTCCTCTCTCTCGGCTCTTGCGAGAATCTGTTCAGGTTGTGTTCTGCCTCCACTTTCTTTGACGTTTTCCTGATATTTCTGACTTCCTGATTTGCACTCCTGAACACTCTTGACAGCACAATATCTCCGCCATCCTGTTTGCACTTTGAAAACAACATGTCTGAACCGCCCAATTCCTGTCGCAATTCCAGTCCATGTTCGCCAAAGCACCATGTTTGAGCCGCCGTTGTTTCCTGTTCGTACAAGCATCATGTTCTCGTTCCTCACAACGCCGTATTTGAAAGTTCCTGATCTCGCTCGGGTATCACTGTTTTGAACTGATTTCAACGTCTTGTTCTTATGCTGGGCGTTATTGCAGATCAGGCATCCTCACCGGCCTCCTTGTTCACTGCAGCCTCAAGTGCACCAAGCACGTCCAGTCCATCACCTGCACCTTGTTGTTCTTCTTTCTTGGCCTCCTGCTCATTGGCAGGGGTAGAGATAGCGTCAGCATCTGCAATCGCATCCGCTTCAGCTTCAACTCTTTCAGGGCTTGCAGTAGGATTGTTAGCTGCAACCACCTCCTGTTTGGTGTCTTCCTTGTCTTCTTCAGAAGCACCCTCTTTTTCAGCCATGGCAACTTCCCCAACTGACTTGGGTGAGACTTGTGTGGCCATGGCGTGCTCAGTAAGAGCAGGATCGTCGACAGATGTGTTTCCCGTCAGTGCGGGATCGATGGCAGAATTGTTGTCTGAGAGGGCGGGATCGATGGCAAAGTTGTTGTCTGTGAGGGCGGGATCAATGATGGAGGTGTTGCTAGTGGGATCAGGATTGATGTCAGTGGCGATCTCTCCCTCCTCACTTCCTTCGTCTTCGCTCTCTGATTCAGAGCCTTCCACGTCTGCGTCCTGCATGATTGCCTCGCCTTGGATGGCGGGCGTTCCCTCTGCGTTGTCGCCACCTTCCACACCTGTTTCTGGTGTGTTTCTCATGGTCACATCTCCTCCGACAGTACTTGTGGCGGCAGCATCGTCGGCAGCGGCGTTCTCCAGCCCTGCTGAAGCGGCAGCAGAAGCATCGGCAGCCGGTGCGGGATTCGGATTCTTAGGCTTCCTCCCAGGCCCACCAAGCTTCTTCTTCTTGCGCCTCGGAGGCATGTTCTTTCGGACTGGCGTAGATGTGCCGTCTGCTTGGGTATTGAGCGCGCCGGACCCAGACCCAGGGGCAAGGACGCTAGCAGGATTGATATCACTAAGATCGTATCCGGTAGTTCCATTACTCATTGCAGAAGCAACAATGTCTGCCAAAGTTCCAAATCCATTCGTGGCTTTGTATGCACCCTTGTAGAGACTCTCCATTCCAGGTCGGCGGTCAGCAAGGTATTTTGGTTCTGGCATCCTCTCAGCCACGGCAGCAGGCACCTGAACCCATTTCTTGACTTCAAAATATCGTTCGTTTGAGCCAGAGGTTGCTTTGCGGCGTTTAGGATCTGATGCTAGACCTTCAACGTCCATGAGATCGTCATTGTCTTCGTCATTCTTATCTTCTTCCTCGTCAACATTCATGGCATCGGCATTGGTGGCAGAGGTGTGTCTAGCATTGTTCATTTGAGCAATTCTGGCGGCCTCACGTCGCTCTATTTCAATGCCTGGAATCCAGCTGTCGGTCTTTCGGTCCCAAACTGAAGTTTTGGCGGTCTTGTTGCCCTCACGTGAGCGACGAAGCAGTTCCTATTGCAGAATCATTGCATTAGCAAACAGTCGGTCTCGCAAAGACCGGGGTGAGACATACCTGATTGAATGGTCTGATTGCTGGAGACCAGGATGGCATGGGATGGTCGGGCCAAGGGAAGTTGCTGTCCGTGCTCTCAGTTGACGGATTGGTCCCGTCACCAGGCTCGGCCGGGGCGTCTTGGTTGACTCTGACTGTGGCAAATTGCCAGCGTTGCACTGGCAGGCCATCAGTCACGTCGTGATCAGGTTGGCCACCCCGATTTCGCGACAATTGGTTGTTTTCTTGGTTTCTCGTCGAGCGAGAAGACCGGAGCTGTTGTGGCTGATAATTAGCCACTGGCTCTTCCTCGAACATCGGTCGAGGAGAAGGAGGGAGGGCGGCGGAGGAGGGGGGGAGAGAAGGTGTCGGAGACACCGAAGGAGAGGCGACAGCGCCATCGGCGACCGGCTCATCATCTTCCACGTCCTCCTCATCGGAGGCCTCCACACCAGGACTGTGTCCAGACTCATCAGGGTCATCCACCCGGATGATCCACTGGCGGTTGCTTGAAGCACCGCCAGTCAGCTCCGGGTGGATTTCCCTGAAGTGTCTGTATGCAGTCCTGGTGTGGAGGTACTCCTTTGGGCATACAATACACCTCCACATTACCGCCATGGTTGATGATGGTAAGGTGGATGGAGATGACGGTGGGTGAGAGAGAAAGATAAAGAGGACAGAAACAGAAAGCAATGGTGAATTGGTGGGGTCCGGCAGGAAAAGTCATGTGGCAGATTCGTGCCAGAGTGCGACTTATTCACATCCCACGACGACGGAACCAAAGGAAAACAACAACTTACCGGCGCCATTGTGTCGCGGACACTCCTCTTCGAAAAAAAAAACTTTGGAACGACGGCGACCTTGTCTCTATTACCAGGTGAGTAGGTGCGATTACAGAGACACGTGTGCAGAAGATATCGCGTGGGGAAGCACTTACCTTCAGACGAGATGTGGTTGTTGTGAAAGATCAGAAAGAAGGCTGAGAGTTGCATGAAGGATGTTTTATCAAAGAGGACATTGCCAAGGGCTTCGCAACCACGCTAAAGGCTGTTAACACAATTAGCGGCGGGTATATCCGGAGCTACGTGGTCGGGAACAACTATATCCCAGGCAATTTGGATGGCGGAGGGAAGGTGGAGCGAGATGGAGGTACTAGAGGGTCAGCATCTGTGAGGAGGCAAGAGGCATACGGTGAATGACAAGGAGAGAAGCACAATGGTACAGAACAGGTCGAATGGGAAGACACTCATGGAGGGAGAGATTGGTATGTTCATTGGTATCACACTGGACGATCAATCCCTGGCAAAGGAGATCGGTCCATCTAAAGCATGGTACATACAGATATCAACAGGAACAGACAGGGTCAGGGAAATGTCAGTCCCATCTGGAAGACGTCAGCTATCAGCATCGTGAACAAAGGGAAGTTGAGCAGACAAGGACACGTACCCTGTGTCTTTCTGTCTCACAATTCCACCACGGTCCCCAATTTCTTTACCCTGGAATCAGAAGTCAGAAAGAGACCGGATCTGTGGAAAAGAAAGGGAATGCATACCGTCTTTCCGCCTTCTACCACGAGTCTGTCCAGCTGGTAGAATTGTGATATCACTGTCTGTCTCTATAGGCCGAAGTCAGTTCCTCGTTTTGTGAATCGCGTATTGCCTGAGTTGTTCCAGGGTTGTAAACGAGGGATGTCTGTGGGCAGATCCTCATTCGTGTCCAAGAGGAGAATACCGCTATCTCTCGGAAACACTTAAAAGGGGAACCCCTTTCATGGAGAAGTAAAGAATGGAACGCACCTTCAACATCTGAAGCTCCTTCAAACCTTTCTGCACCAACTCCTGTATCCGTCGCGGATCCCTCTCGTGCTGATGTTCGTGGAATGCATCCCTCGTCCTTCTCCTCGCGTACATCCTGAAATTGTAGTTGGCAAACTTGTTCCCTTCGCGCAATAGTGACCGGTACAGTGAACGGACACTGAATGCTGAGGTATCGGCCGCGGTGGCCAATGCGGAGGAGGCCATTGATGCGATCGGGGACGCGGCACTCCTGTATGTGTGATCAGAGAGTATGAGCTAGAGCGCGTGCAAGAGGTGGGAAAATGCTCGTATCGAGACTGGCTCTGAATAACGACTCCTGGTGTTCTCAGGGTGTGGTGGCGCAAGCAAGGAAATTCGAGCAGGTCAAACTTTTTGGCGGCGCGGCTCAATAATTGCGGCGAGTTCCTTCAGCAACAGCACTCAGAGCAGCTTCGCTAGGCAAATGAATTCTGCAGGATACGCTGCAGATTCTTCGATAGTGCGAGTGGTTGTTGGGGAAAGTGACATGGACTGAAAAGGTAGACTCGTGAGCCTTCTCACAATTACAAGTTGCATGAAATCAAATAAACTGCGCATCCCGCCGCAGGGTTGCGTCAATGCTCGGCCTGAAATCTCCGAAACGACCGAGATCTCGTTCTACGAGGCTGCCATCAAAGTCGTCACACTCAACCTGGAATTACACTCAGTATTTCACATCCCAACGCCATTTGAGACGACTTTGGGAAGGGAATAGGAAATGGCATCTCAGATTCCCTCTCCACCGGTCTCGCGTCCAAGCTCCCCGAGCAACACCTCTCGCAGTCAACCAGACCCTGTCGAAGCGGAGACATCAGACTACAAGGCGCAAGCTGATCTACAACAGCAACCCAAAGACCAAAAATCTCCTGAAGAACTCCTCTCAGAAAGGCTAGACGCGCTTCTCATTTCTTATTTGACGATTTTGGAGACCTATACCAATCTTCGCACCCAGCTCTCCAAGGACTTCTCACAGGGATTCTTTGCACTCGCGCAGGCGAATCGCAATGCAAATTCTACCTTGGGCGTTGGGAGGAGGTATGGCGAGGAAGGCTTCGACGAGCGTATGAAAGCGGACAGGGTAGCAAAGATCCAAGAGAAAGGAAACAGCATGCTGCATAAGAGCTGTTGGAAGGCGGACGACTCCGAGGAAG